ATATTATAACAAGTTATGAGAAAAAATAAATTTACATTTTTTTTATTTTGGGCTTCAAGCCATTCATTTTCCTGCAAGAGCTCCCTCTTAGCTCGCATTTCTTCAATATTTTTAAGTAATTTTGGATCATCTGGTGGAAATATCTGTGCCCTTTTTTCCATCATCCATTGTTCAAAAAATACTGGCTGATTAAACAAGTAAAATAAACCAACATGAAAGCTGACATACATTGCCATCCGAAAAACTTCCAACTTCCATCCACCCATCGTAATCTTAAGATCAAATGATATTCGAGTGTTTTGTAGAATGTCTTAAAATGCCTAACATTTGATAAACGAAGCTAAATCATAGCCAAAGAGTCAATGATTGATAGATCTAGTTCATGGGTCGGCAACCTTTTGAAGTGGAAGAGCCAAAAGTTACAATTTTCAAAATTTCCCTTCTTTTAAAGAGCAACTAACATTATTTTTATTTTAAATATTTTGTTTTATTAAGATTATTAGTATTTGTTCAAGGAGCTGGAGAGCCGCATCTTGATATCAAGGGAGCCGCATGCGGCTCGCGAGCCGCAGGTTGCCGACCCCTGATCTAGTTGATGATATTGTTATAGAAATGGTTATTCGGAAATTATGGTAGATATGTGCAAATTATTTTTTTTTAAATAAATTGAAAAAGAATACAAAGTATTGATTGGTTACAAGAGACGACAGCCTCAGTAAATGCGATTACCTATAAAATATTTAATCCAAGGAAAAAAAATTATTGTGATCCTTAACCATAGAAACATCGATATTAAATTCAATTATTGAAAAAAAAAATTAAACTATAGATGACAAAACAAAACAATTTTAGTTTAAAATTTAACTATGATACATTTGGCTCGTGATGTGATGAGGGTCTGTTAATTAGAATTGGTGCTAATTTGATCACAGTCCCACAGTTGTCGTTAATGAAAAGGATGATTGAAAACGAAGACGAACTCATTGGTTGACAAATAAACCGGTAGTGATCTCCCCTAAACTTTCTCGAATATTCTTATATAACACTACGGGGTATGGTAACTCGGGATAAAGACAATATTTTAAATCAATTTTTAATTATTTAAACTTTTTAAAAATAGAATAGAATCTCGTAGAAAAAAGAATTGCACACTAAGTGACCGCCACACAAAATGTGCATAAAAGTGCGGAATATTATTAGTACTATATAAATTCACATGCGTTTTTTTTTAGAAATCGGAAATAGCGAAAATTACTACTTCCGGAAGTTACTGAAAATTTGAGGGAAGGCAGAGAATCAGATCTTTTACTTCTATGTAAAATTTCATTTATCTATCTGAAATAGTACTCAAGTTATAGGCTTTTGAAAAAATTGAAAGTAGAAAAGGTTCCACTTTCGGGTATCGGAAATCGCTGAAAAGTAGATACGGATCTACAAATTTGATATAATACCTATATATGAAATTTCATCAACCTATCTGTAACGGTTCTCAAGTTAGCGTATTCACAGAGACACACTTACACACACACACACATACGGACATGATTGCAAGACTACATTTTACGACTTAGAGAGGTGTAAAACGTCGAGATTTGCAAAGATTTCGATTATTATTTTTTTGCACGATTGCAATACTTTCTCTATAATTTGTATACGAGAAAGTAATAGGAATAATTGTTTCATAAAAGGCGATTACCTCAAAAATATTTAATCCAAAAAGTTGTTATCCTTAACCATAAAAACATCAAAATTAAATCCAATTATTGAACGAAAATGTAGACCTATATATGACAAAACAAATTTTTTTTAAATTTCAAATTAAACTATGATATATTTGGCTCGCGATGTAGTGAGAGTCTGCTAATTAGCATTGTATGCTAATCTTATCACAGCCCCACAGTTGTCGTTAATGAAAGCCTGGTGATTTAGCGACAGCCAACGCATGCACGTTCACAGACAATAAAACAAACAGCCCAGCCTAAATCGATTGGTACGATCGCCGCTAAATTATGTCAAACTGTATGCAAGGAACGACGAAATATGCGGTACGTTCATTAAACACATTGCTAAGACGGTGAGAAAAATGTTAATTTTTAAATTTACCTTCCCACGGTCGTACTAAACACATTGATCTCTCTTTCTCCTTGTATTATATATATATATATATATATATATATATATATATATATATATATATATATATATATATATATATATATATATATATACATATATATATATATATATATATATATATATATATATATATATATATATATATATATATATATATATATATATATATATATATATATATACACATATATACATATATACATATATACATATATACATATATATATATATATATATATATATATATATATATATATATATATATATATATATATATATATATATATATATATATATATATATATACATATATATATATATAAAATTATATATAATTATATATATATATATATATGTGTGTGTGTATGTGTGTGTGAATGTATGAGTGTGTCAGTATATGTGGCGATGTTATGCCAAACACATCTATCAGATGACCAAAGCGATAATCGTTTGGTGACCATGTATTATGATTTATGTCATAGATACTCAGTCATCGCATAAGTTGAAAACCTTACTTTGTAGAAATTTGTTATCCAAGCTAAGTCGACAAATATTTTAAATAAAATTCTCCTTTTTTTCTAAACAATATGAGATAGTTATGCATGTTTATTTACATTTTTGTGATAAAATTTAAAAACAAAATATGATCTAGTTATGCATGTTATTTACATTTGTGTGATAAAATTAAAAAAAATAACCAAATTGTCATTGGCTTTGTTTTGATAGAGCGCGAGACTGCTAACCTGAAAGTCTCAAGTTTGAATCCAGGTTCAAAGTAAAGTCTGACAAAAAAAAAAACACATAATCAAGCTTTGTATAGCCACATTTATTTTTAAAAGTTTTCTTTTAAATTCAACTAAACATTCAATTGAATCAACCATTCGAGACTATTGGAGACTATTCTAGTTGGGGGTTCATTAAGAAGTTATTGAAATAAAATGAGAGGTAGCTCATCTTATATGAGAATGCCATTAAATTTTTATGGTTTTATGATGAATTGTGAAAAAAAAAGTAATATACCCCTTTCCCTATCAAGAAATTGTTCAAAAGTTAATAGTACCTTCAGTATAGAAAATAATACTATTTTTTTTTATTTCTTCCTCCTAACAGTAATCAAGTTCTCGTTTTCACACTGAAGAAGAGTAAAATACCATTTCTGGTTACCAGAAATAACTCAAAAATTGCCAGACACCAGCGTATATGCATGCAAAATTTCGTTTAATTCAAAAAATTAGAGAAATATAAGTAGAGAATCTTAAATATGAAATGTCCTTAACCATCTTAAATGGTACTCAAACTATCATGTTCTCGATGAGTAAAGAATTATTCCGGTCACCGGAAACTATTTGAAACTCGATAGAAGCATGCGTAAACAAATACTTCCTATAAACTCTGCATACGAGAAAGTAAAAATCAAACAACAAAAGAGGTCATAGGTCTAGTTCTTCTGGCTCTTTAAGTGCTGGAAACCTTCGGGGGGCGGGGAGAGGTGGCGGGTGTACGGTGTACCAGTTCGTAACGCTTGACTAGTGTTGCACTTTCTTGCGTCTATTCAGGCTCGGCTTATCATCTGGGTAAACTTTGACTAGAGCAGGGTTGTGGTGTGACGTTTTTACACAGGTGTGTTGTGCCATTTGACTACAGCGGGCTAGGCGTGTGATATTTTTCCTGCATGTGTTGTACAATTTGACTACCTTGGCTGGTTGTGTGATATTTCTACCTAAATTTATTATGTCATTTGACTACCTTAACTGATCGTGTGATGTTTTTACCTACTTGTGTTGTTGCCTTTCTTGTCCGCTTGTCTACGGTGTTTTAAAAAGTGTTCACGTTTCATTACATGTTGAATATTTTTTCTACTTTTTACTAATACATAAAACATTTTAATTATCGATTAGCCCTCGAAACATTTTTATATGCTAGGCCTACTGCATGCGACAATATAACATGTTTGTTAAGGTTTAAGTTAGAGGTAAGAGGTAAGTTATTCGGGTAAGGGATACGTTAGGCAAAAGCTAGTATCATGTTTAGTGTGATTGTTTAAGTGCTACAACATAAACAGACAATGGATGATGTTGAGACGTCCGTCTTTATTAATGTTTTCTTTGTAGAAAAAAATTCTACGCACGCCTATAGTTTTAATATTTTAATCTGGAATGTTAAAATTAAATTAGATTACATGAGAATTTTGAAAAAAAAAAACAAAAAGCTTATGTTAATTAAAATTGTTGCAATGTGGCAGAAAGAGGGGTGGGTGGTAGCAGATACTAGTCCATTATTGTAATCACTTTATCTAATAAATTAGTTATAAATTTAAGATCGATGAGTAGTAAACTGATTTATCATTATATTTAATACTGACACTAACGTGAAAGTTATCGACAACCATGTACTTTATAAATCTTGTAGCAGTAAATGAGCAGCTCTCCACTGTTTTAATACTTTTACTTTATCTTAAAATTAACTCTGACCCTAGTCTTAACCATATACCACTGTGTAGCCTAAAGTTAAGGGACGGTGTGGCCTAGCGGTAGAGAGCTAGACTGGTTCAAATTAGTGGAACGTCCCTGAGTCCACCCAGTTCTGATGGGTACCTAACTTACGTTAGGGAAACAAAGACGGCTGGGCATAGTGCGGACCACGCTATCCCTTCATATGCCGTGGTCTCAGAATCAGATGAACTCTACTTAATCTGCCCCATGTGACTAACCTTAACTCTACCTTAATTAAACCACTATCATAACCTTAACGCTTTAAAACTCAGTACGTCAAAAATCAGCGACATCGGCTTAACAAATTACAAACACGCACGTACGGCTAATCGACAAAGCGCTCGATAACTAGTAAATCATAACATAACTCACGTGTCACACATACGAAAAGTTTACGTCCAACACGTGACATATTCAGCTGTCCACATACAAGTGGGTCACACATCAACATACAGGTGGGTCACACATCAACATACACTACACACACCATTTCGGTGGGCCATTGAAATGTAAATAGATTTATAAATAGTCAAACTCGAAACCTGCTTGCTTGCCTGGCAAGGGGAGACTATCAACATTAAAAAAAAAGATAAGGTTCGATAACTCTTTAGTGTTAGCTGGGACCCATAAAAACGGGTACATGGAGTGTGTATGTGTGTGTAGGGGGGGGGGGGGGTGGGCAGCGTTTCTTTCAGGTATCTCTTCGGCGGGCACCGCCCCCCTCTCGCCCCACCCACAAGGCCCACCTACACCCCCCCCCCCCAACGAAATAGATACTATACTTTTATCAGTGCCCACCCCGCCCCCATCCCCTTAAATTTAGCCCCCCCCTCCCTAAGTTTCTAATGCCCCCCCCCCCCCCATCTCCCTGGATAAAAAGAATGAAAGAAACACGGGAGAGGGAGGTTTATTAATATGATATTTCAGATAGAACCAGACTTTAGTTTTAGTATAGTGGAGTCAGTCATGCAGTAAGTCGAAAAAAAAATTACCTGATAAAATGTTGATCATACGATGAATTAATTGATGCAGGCATATTGGATCGCAATCACACTTTCAGGGGGGTAGGTGGGAAGCTAGTCCTTTTATACCCTTCAATAGACCGATGCTGCAGTTTTTATATTCCACATTGTGTGTAAAGAATTGTTGTAAATAGAGAATCCAATATGTGGTGCGGATAATAATTGCGGCAGTACCTCGCGCGGGTCATGGGTCGATACACGGGTCATTATTATAAAGACTAATATAATTGTCCGCTCTATTCTACACACATTAAACTGAATAGAATCGCGTAGAAAACTATTGCCAACAAAAAATGATATAAAATATAACATTCTTATGGTTTTTGAGAAATTGGAAATAAAGTACCACTTCCGGTTACCGGAAGAAACCTATGAAAACAATATAATCTGTCTCTGTGAAAGTTTGTTCACCCAACTAAATGGTACTCAGGCTATCGTGTTGACAGACAGACAGACAGGCAGACAGGCAGGCAGGCAGGCAGGCAGACAGACAGACAGACAGACAGACAGACAGACAGACAGAAAGACAGACAGACAGACAGACAGACAGACAGACAGACAGACAGACAGACAGACAGACAGACAGACAGACAGACAGACAGACAGACAGACAGACAGACAGACAGACAGACAGACAGACAGACAGACAGACAGACAGACAGACAGACAGACAGACAGACAGACAGACAGACAGACAGACAGACAGACAGACAGACAGACAGACAGACAGACAGACAGACAGACAGACAGACAGACAGACAGACAGACAGACAGACAGACAGACAGACAGACAGACAGACAGACAGACAGACAGACAGACAGACAGACAGACAGACAGACAGACAGACAGACAGACAGACAGACAGACAGACAGACAGACAGACAGACAGACAGACAGACAGACAGACAGACAGACAGACAGACAGACAGACAGACAGACAGACAGACAGACAGACAGGCAGGCAGACAGGCAGGCAGGCAGGCAGGCAGGCAGGCAGGCAGGCAGGCAGGCAGGCAGGCAGGCAGGCAGCCAAGCAGCCAGGCAGGCAGACAGGCAGACAGACACACAGAGACGGAAACACGGACGGACGCACGAAAACGCGGGGGTGGGGGGTGGGGCAGGGAGCGTTAAGGCACTTAAAGAGGTGTATAACGTCGAGATTTCTCAAAATATCGATTTCTTTTTTTTTTTTTGTTGTTGTTGTACGGTTACAATACTTCCTCAATATATCGTATACGCAAAGGGGTCACGGTATTCGAATATGGGTCATGGTTCACGATATGCGGAAATTGGGTCATGGGTTACGTTACCCCAATAGAGGTCATTGCGAGTATGGGCCATTGATCAGGATATACAAAAAAGGGGGGCTATGGGTCACGATATGCATATGTGGGACACTATATGCATATATATGTGTCACGATATGCCTCTATAAGGGTCAAAACGACTTGAAGCCGTGTCACGGTATTGTTATGTTGTTTACTATGTGCCCCCGTTTTTGTGAGTAGTCTGATGAGTATGTTTTACCAGCCCCTGTTCTAACACATGTTTTCTGTGGCTTCTAGTGAGATTCTGGGCCCTGAATGTTATTAAAATAAAGCAGTTAGCGCCAGTACGGTGTTCAAAACATTCTCTGTTCCTTCCCCTTTGTAATCGGGCAATTTATGTGGGCTATATAATTTAACAGCGTATGTGGTGCACATTTACACTCTGTTATAAAAAGCCATGATTTATATAGATTATAGCCCGATATTGAATCATCCTGTTATACATAGTTCTAGTTTAGAAAGCCCTGCAGGTGAAGTAGAGTTCCCCTGTCCCCCTTGTGTGGGATGGTTTGGTCGAATGGTAGAGCGTTTGACTGCTAACTTGAAAGTCACGAGTTCAGATCCCGGACTCGAGTCCGTACGACGGACTTGAGTCCACACAGCTCTGATGGGTACCTGGCTCGCAATAAGGAAAGTAAAGGCGGCTGGGCGTATACACAAATTACTGTGTAAACTACAAATGGTGTGTAAACTACACACACAGTCGGTGATTATCATTTACATTATTCGTATAAAACGCCAACTTATATAACAAATTGTCACAAAGTTGTCACAAAGTTGTCACAAGTTGTCACAAGTTGTCACCAGTTGTCACAAGTTCTCACAAATTCTCACAAATTCTCACAAATTCTCACAAATTCTCACAAATTCTCACAAATTCTCACAAATTCTCACAAATTCTCACAAATTCTCACAAATTCTCACAAATTCTCACAAATTCTCACAAATTCTCACAAATTCTCACAAATTGTAGCAAATGTTCATGTAATGCAGCAGGTATGTGTCATCCCATGTCAACCACTGTCACTTAATGTCACCGGGTGTCACGTTGACTCACGCGCAGTCACGTGTTTTAACAACTCACCCCACACGTGCTCAGCCCCCACCTCACCCATCCTTTACCTTACTCGTAAGAACTGAAGACATGCGTGTCTTCATCATTAATAAAACACGCTTAATTAGCCTAAAATCGATGTCGACGCGTGTTCATGTGATATGGTTGTAAGTACTAAGCGGTTTCCACTGCAAAATAACAATGAAATATTTTAGTTATACCATTTATTATTAATGTTTGGTTCTATTTATAATTGTATTTGCTTTTATCAGTTTTCTTGAGTTTGCTAATAATTTCACATTATATAACAGCTATTTTGAGTGGGTACTTCTTTTAGGCATCTTTTCGGGGGTGGGGGTGGCACGTCCACCACTTCCACCCCCCCCCCCCCACACACACACACACCTACCCCAAGAACACACCGACGATGAAACAAACCATGTCGACTATTCCCTCAAGCTACCCCAAGAAAAAGAAATTCATACTTTAACCATTGTCGTTGTCTTCCCCCCCCCCCCCCCCCCCCCCATCCGACCATGAGCAAAATGTCTGAGAAAAAACCATGGATATGGCGCTGTCAAGACCTGAATCAGATATTAAAAGCGCCAAAAGTGACAATGTGCTGGTAAATGATATGTGTTAGGATAGAAAATATAAGAGGTTGGTTTCCTCATTTCCTTGCGGTGTATAGAATAGCTCAATCCAGTAAATCCACCAACATCCACCAACATCCACCAACATCCACCAACATCCACCAACATCCACCAACATCCACCAACATCCACCAACATCCACCAACATCCACCAACATCCACCAACATCCACCAACATCCACCAACATCCACCAACATCCACCAACATCCACCAACATCCACCAACATCCACCAACATCCACCAACATCCACCAACATCCACCAACATCCACCAACATCCACCAACATCTACCAACATTTACCAACATACACCAACATCCACCAACATCCACCAACATCCACCAAAATCCACCAACATAGACCAACATCCACCAACATCCACCAACATCCACCAACATCCACCAACATCCACCAACATCCACCAACATCCACCAACATCCACCAACATCCACCAACATCCACCAACATCCACCAACATCCACCAACATCCACCAACATAGACCAACATCCACCAACATCCACCAACATCCACCAACATCCACCAACATCCACCAACATCCACCAACATCCACCAACATCCACCAACATCCACCAACATCCACCAACATCCACCAACATCCACCAACTTCCACCAACATCCACCAACATCCACCAACATCCACCAACATCCACCAACATCCACCAACATCCACCAACATCCACCAACATCCACCAACATCCACCAACATCCACCAACATCCACCAACATCCACCAACATCCACCAACATCCACCAACATCCACCAACATCCACCAACATCCACCAACATCCACCAACATCCACCAACATCCACCAACATCCACCAACATCCACCAACATAGACCAACATCCACCAACATCCACCAACATCCACCAACATCCACCAACATCCACCAACATCCACCAACATCCACCAACATCCACCAACATAGACCAACATCCACCAACATCCACCAACATAGACCAACATCCACCAACATAGACCAACATCCACCAACATCCACCAACATCCACCAACATAGACCAACATCCACCAACATCCACCAACATCCACCAACATAGACCAACATCCACCAACATCCACCAACATCCACCAACATAGACCAACATCCACCAACATCCACCAACATCCACCAACATAGACCAACATCCACCAACATCCACCAACTTCCACCAACATCCACCAACATCCACCAACATCCACCAACATCCACCAACATCCACCAACTTCCACCAACATCCACCAACATCCACCAACATCCACCAACATCCACCAACATCCACCAACATCCACCAACATCCACCAACATCCACCAACATCCACCAACATCCACAAACATCCACCAACATCCACCAACATCCACCAACATCCACCAACATCCACCAACATCCACCAACATCCACCAACATCCACCAACATCCACCCACATCCACCAATATCCACCATTATCCACTAGCATACACCTACACAACAGCTGTTTTTAAAGCTACTAACAGTGATAGAACACACCGACGATGAAACAAACCATTTACCCCCTGTCAGCTATTCCCTCGTCGAGTTACCACCAGGAGCTAGCACCCCACCACCACGTTATTACCCCCTAACCCTACCCCCCCCCCCCCCCATTACCCTGAAAGTAATTATCTCCTCCCTCGAAGTCATATATATATATATATATATATATATATATATATATATATATATATATATATATATATATGTATGTATGTATGTATGTATATGTCAAAAGAAATGTGTATTTTAGGTGTATAAAAAGAAATGTGTATTTAAGGTGTATGATATTTCATTAAGTTTAAAGAAAACACAAGACCTATACATATCCCATTAGAGCTCCGTATGTATTCAGTTCCATATGTATTCAGCTCCATATGTATTCAGCTCCATATGTATTCAGCTCCATATCCCTAGCCCTATATCTAACCGTAACTCTCAGTTTACCTCTATCTCTGACCTTAACTAAACCTAACCATCACTCAAACCCTAAACCCAAACCCTAAACCCAACTTGAACCTAGGTTCTAACGTAATCCCAATCCCTAACTCTACCCCTAACCCCCCAACCCTAACTTATCCATAACTAATCGCGTCTCAATCTCTGATTTACCAGGGAAGGGGGTGGGGGTTATCCACCCGGGGAGGGGGGGGGAAGGGGATGTCCTGTCAATATAGGTCGTGTAAACACCTCCCCCCTCCCCCCCCCCCCCTTCCACACAATATCCACCTCCTCCGAAATTGAATCTCCCCCCCCCCCCTTCCACACAATATCCACCTCCTCCGAAATTGAATCTCTCCCCCCCCCCCTTCCACACAATATCCACCTCCTCCGAAATTGAATCTCTCCCCCCCCCCCCTTCCACACAATATCCACCTCCTCCGAAATTGAATTTGCTATTTTTGTTAATAAACATCAACGAAATGATTAATGAAGTCTTTTTAAAATGTAATTTTATTTCATTAATTAATTAAGTGAGTCATTTAGATAAGATTTTAATATCATGTTTACTAGACTACATACTCAACACATACATTACACGTGGCGGGGGGGGGGGGCGTGGTAACACATGAATGTCTATGACATCTATTGTTGTATTACCTGACCACATAGAGACAACAGACACACAACACAATAAAACTAAAACTAGAATCGTTTATTAACACACCGTGTGGTAATTTATTGCAGGTTGCGATACTAATAGCATGAGCATACCGTACATAATGAGGTAATATGTCAGATATAATATAGATAATATAGATATAATATAACAAGTGACTTAATACCGGGTAGTTCTAGTTTTAGGATAAACACAAATGCGTATTTGATTCCGGTTAATCGGGGCACATTAGCGACGCGACCGTTTTGGTTTTAATAAGCGTTTTTTTCGATTATAAGGATCGTGAGCTTAGTTTAAAGTCGAGACTGACATATTTATATTGTGAGCTTTAAGATGTCGTATACACATATGATATATAAATAAACACGTGGAACACAAAAATATAAGATCTACCATTCATCAGGTAATGTGTTCTTAAAAACTAAATTTACAGCCACTTTGATATACACATATGATATAGGCTACAAAAAACACTTCGAACATACACATGTGATATAGGCTACAAAAAAACACTTCGAACATACACATATGATATAGGCTAAAAATAAACACTGCGAACATACACATATGATATAGGCTAAAAATAAACACTGCGAACATACACATATGATATAGGCTACAAGAACACTGCGAACATATACAGATGATATAGGCTACACATAAACACTGCGAACATACACATATGATATAGGCTACAAAAACATTGCGAACATACACATATGATATGGGTTACTAATAAACACTTCGAGCATACACATATGATATAGACTACAAATAAACACTTTGATATACACATATGATATAGGCTACACATAAACACAGCGAACATACACATAAGATCTACTATTCCACAAGTTCTGTGTTCAGTAAAAACTTAATTTACAACCAGATGGTTCAAACACTTTGCGCTGTGTCGTGTTGTTTAGTCAGGGGTGACTAAACAGGCACGGGTCACTGACTACAGATGAAGGAGTTTTGTTCCTCTGTGGTAAGGCGGGGGTGGGGGGGGGGGTGGGGGGGCGAAAGCTGCGAAATTTATCGCTACGAATCGTAAATCAATTAAGATTATTTTTTTAGACAAGAGAGGGATGGTGAAAGTGAGGATTTATAAACGTAAGAATAGCTATTTAAAAAAATCGCTGGATTTTAGTTATTTTACACGTAAACGATCGCATATTCTATATTATAGTTCACATATTTAGGCCTACAAAGAAAGTGAATTTTGGCTTTGGTTTTTTACCTCAAGTGTATCGATCCTATTAAACGATTGTGTGGTCCAATAAACAAATAATATAATGTTTACGTAATCGGATTTGTATCGGTTCAAAAGATTCAGTGCAAATACAACGCTGGTCCGATTACCCGGTAAAAAAAAAACAGTTTACATGAATGAATAGTTAATTAACTGTTCATTTTTTAAGTACAAGTCACTGATAAACTCAGTCTTGTTCATATTTTAAAACATTAATAATATTCATCGCATTTATAAAGTCATTAAAATTAGTCATTGTTAATTAGATTAATAAATTCGCGGATAAATCGATTATTTTTCATCTTTTAACTTGGTAATATGATGAAATCTTAAAGTCCGACAACTCCTTCTGGTCAAAGGGCCGGTAACCGAAGTGTTTCATTACGTCAGAGCAGTGACTTTGAATGAGGTTCACTTCATCAAAACTCAACACTTTCCTCCAAGCGTACGCCGTTTCCGTCGCGTTTTTCCGTGTCGTACATATGTTACAGTCATCTTGATTTCCGGCGAACGTTATATTCCAGATATATTCTTTGACAGGTGGTGTAAACTCAAGGTTTATAAATCCGTACAACTGTTGGGTCCTTGCTATTGGGTTCTCGATTATGTCCTCATAGCGAACTTGCATAACGCGATGAGGAAATTTGTGAAAAACTGTTTTGGAGACGTGTATGTCGGATCTCACTCGCTCGCAAAACGATTTGGTGTAGTTGTTTAATATTGTCCAGTCGAACTCCCCGAGTTGGTTTTGTGACCGGACGGTCCCACGGGGGTCTCGAACCAGGTACAGCACCTTGAAGTCGGGGTCAAGGTCCATCAGCTGACCCAGTTCCTGCATGGTGAGACGAATGACCTTGACCACCAGGTAGTTAGTCTGGCGACACTCCGGGTTGATGTCCTCGGTACAGCGTCGGAGATTGTTTAAACCTGCGAGAGATGGATGTATTTGATTGGTCTATCAGTCAGCTGTTGAGTCATCTAAAGAGGTTTGGGTACCCAGTAATATAGTCTACCAATATATAAATACGTGGTGCGGCCTAGCGGTAGAGCGCTAGACTGTTAACCCGAAAGTCTCGAATTCGAATCCGGGTTTAAGTCAGTAGAACGGCAATAGAACGTCAAAGAATCCACCCAGCTCTAATGGGTACCTAACTCATGTTAGGGAGCTTTGGTGACGATGCATGGCAATAAAAGTGGGGGGATAAATTATGTGTGACCTCACATTATGCGATTTATTTTAAAAAACTGCTTTTTTGCAGGGCTTTTAATATTTAAATAAACAATTTTTATAAACTGCTATGGAAATCCTCCAATTCATACAACAATGATCATGATTTGCTAACATGTTTTGTATAAAACATTCCCAGTTTTCATTCATACGGGAGACTACTCAATTAATACTTTCGGAAAATAAATCCTACCCTGATAACTTCCCCTTAGAGAAAAATAAAAAAAAATATGGGTGGAGTGTGTGTTCCATAAGGAGCAAAGAGGATTAAGTCAAGTCAAGTGTGTGTGTGTGGGGGGGGGGTTGGCTAATGCATGGCGTCATTTACGGGGGTGTTTTGACTTTTTATTACGGTGTGTGACGATGGGGAGGGAAGAGGGGGTATAGATCAGTTAAATAAATGATGACGTCGTTTACAGAGGTCATGTGTACTCACTTTCTTCCGTCACATTAAACACCCAGTTAGACATCAACGTTGTGTTTTCTGTAGCTGAAAGATGAAAAGTAAAATTAAACAAAACAAATAAAATAAAACACTTTGTCATTTATATTTGCAACTCACCTATATCCCCCCCCCCCCACCCCCCACTATATTACGTTTTTAAAATTATTAAAATATAAGCAGTTAATTTATTTCATGTACCAGCGTTTTGATGGGTTTCCTTTAATTATAATTATACAAATAATATATTATTGTTTAGTACAAAGTATTGATAATTGTAAGTGTTAACGCTGCGACGAAATATTTACACTGAAATAGAAAAGATGGCGGGTGTATTGTAGTACACAGTTTACAAACCTTGATGAGTCTAACAGGCTTCTAAGTTGCTTTTGTTTTTGCGTGAGGCTGTTGTAGATGGTATATGCCAAAGAGGTAGTGTTGTAATATTTACGTGTTTTATTGTACAAAAAAGTTTATAGCACAATTAAGGGTGGGGGTGGGGGGTATGCGTATTGGGTGACACCATTTTCGCGGCAACGCCACGTGAAAAACTTGCAAACGGACACTGACAAAAATTCATTGAATTAAAAACTAATTAGAGTCGTAAATACTTTTAAATATAAAAATGTCACCTTCAGACGATTGATTGTGTGTGTGTGCGAGGGGGGGGGGGAGAGGAGAAGAGAGGGAGGGGGATAACTACCATGAAGGAAGAAGAATCGTTGAAGAAAAAAAAACAATATGACATTTAGTACCTTCAACAACTGATTATGGATCATTAATCATGAATTCAATATTGAAATTTTAAATCCATCTTGCATTAAGAAATTTGTTTTAGTTACTTCTAGCACTAAGAAAAATGTTAAACCTATCTGTAGCACTAAGATAGATGATAAACCTACCTGTAGCACTAACCATATTTACCTGTAGCGTCAATGGAGCAGAGGCCGAATCCGTAGGTCGACACGCTACTGTGCATGTGATATTGCTGCGGAGACAAAAACCAAATGTTTAAAGTTGGACCTTGAAAACGTCAGCATCAAAGAAACAGGCGACATGATCTGCCAATTCACTAGTTCATAAGTGTGTGGGTGTGTCTGTGGTCAATGACATAGTATATATATATATATATATATATATATATATATATATATATATATATATATATATATATATATATATATATATATATATATATGCCTATATGTATATATGCCTATATATATATGCCTATATATATATATATCTATATATCTATGCCTATATATATATATATATATATATATATATATATATATATATATATATATAGGCATATATATATATAGGCATATATATATATAGGCATATATATATATATATATATATATATATATATATATATATATATATATATATATATATATATGTAACGAGACTATTTGCCTGTAGTGCCAAATGTTAACGAGTTCTGCTCGACAACGCCAAATGTTACCGAGTCTAACCACTCATTCTACACAACATCGACCACAGTATAGATACTCGAAGATGCAGGTTCGCTATTGATCCTTTTATTACATGAATCAAAGAAATGCTTCACAATAATATAATGAATCAAAAGGAATGCTTCACAATAATAGTCTGAATCAACTGACCCCCAACAGTCCTCACTAGTCTTCACATAACTGAATGCACATGTCTATCGTCCTTCTTAACACAATACGGCTAACCCGTTCAATAACCAACTTGATACTGCCTCACTGACTGACTGATCGAGAGAGAGAGACCGAGGCACAGCGACCATGAGCTCAGCCGTCGCCTTCCTATATATCCCCTTCGTATTCGTAGTCGTATTCGGTTCTATCATAATCGTAATCGTAATCGATTCTAGTCATTGCATCAGAATGTTAATTACGCCGCTTCTGTCGTACAGTCCGATTTAATAAGCCATCTGCATCCTGTCACATCAAAGTTGACAGACCGTATTGCGTTCTTATCGTATCGCTTCCCAAGATACTACGCCTTGGCTTTCTGATCGTTATCAGCCAACACCTGCGTTATTACATCAGTCGTGTCAAAGTTGACAGCGCTGTACTGCGTTCTTATGTCTCTGGTAACTTCCCCTAGTTACATCCACCCCTGCCTTTTTTTGTGTGTTATAAACCACAAACAACGCTTGGCAGGTGCAGTCCTTCAAAGTCAATCGCACCACCGTAAAAAAAAATGTATTGTTCCACTCACTGTCAATGTCGTCACATTCGTATAAGATTGACAGTTATCCCTATTTCACATATCAAATGTGTCTACATCATCTTCCTCAGACACAAAACAGTTCTAGAATTCACATCCACCTTTTTTCGTTTGGTGCCTTCACCAGTTCACTTTTATGACTTTTTGAACAGTCTGTTCTCATACCAGCGCGACCATGAAAGAATTGATGGTTGCTGACAAAAAATTTCGTATTCTTTCTGTTTCTCAAACTTCTCCGCGGACCACTTATCTGATGGTCTACTGTCTCTCTGCTTCTGGGAGGAACGGGATCCTCTTCGTTGCCGTTATCCTCCACTTGTGTATCGCTGTTGCGCTGTTGATGGTGACATGGTTCCGGGATGGGTATGTGAATTTCCGTTATAGTTTCCGGTTCCCTAATTGTCTTGGGTTTCCTTGTGTGTAACTGCTCTTCTTGACTATGACAATATTTCTTTAATTGAGCAATATTCGCCCACCGATCCGGTTTGGCGTGATCGATGGGTCTTATCTTAAAGGGGCCACCTGCTACTTTAGGCATCTCCACGACTTGCCATATCTCCTGTCCCCAGAGGTCGTGGATTTTGTTTCTGCCTAACGGGTGGCTACGCAGTAATACCCTGTCGTTCAGTTTGAGTGGCGGGTCCTTTGTCTGTACCGGCGGTTCCCTTCGCCGTGCTTCATGTTCTAGTCTTTCCTGTACTACCCTGTACATTTCTCTAATTCGTCTCATATGTTCATTCACATATTCCAGTGCAGTGTATGAGCCAGTCATACTCTCCTTTTTTCCTAGGAACAAGTCAAGAGGGAGTCGAGCCTCCCGTCCGAACAGCAACATGTGTGGCGAAAAGCCGGTTGTGGCATGGGGGGTGCAGTTGTATAGATATACCAACTCTGGGAGAAAATCAGGCCAACGTTTTTTCTGTTCAGGTTCTAGAGTACGCAGCAAATCATGCATGCTGCGGTTGAACCGCTCGCACTGTCCGTTTCCTTTCGGATTAAATGTGGTTGTTCTAGATTTGTTGATCCCGTAGTGGCTGCACAGTTGGTTAATTACTTCTGACTCAAAGGCCCTTCCTTGGTCAGAGTGTAATTGTCTTGGTATGCCATATTTGATGAACCAATGTTCTATTAAGACCTTTGCCACTGTTTTGGCAGTCTGATCTCGTGTGGGCACCGCCACAGTCCATTTGGTGAATACATCAGTCATTACCAACACATGTTCCGTCCCATCCGATGATTGCTCCAACGACGTAAAGTCCATAGCCACAATCTCTAGTGGTTTTGTCGCCAGTAGGTGTCCTGATGGCTGTCTCATTTTGACAACTGGCATTTTCGCATGCTGACACCTCACACAAGCCTCACAATGGCGTTTGACCTCCATTTCCATATTGGGCCAGTAACACCTCCGTCGTAATATTTTGTGCGTCCTGTCCTGACCCTGGTGTCCTGCCCTGTCATGTGCCAACCTTAGCACTTCTTCTCGTAATTGTCCAGGCACCACCACCTGGTGTATTGTCCCATCAATTTGGTCATGAATTCTCCGCATGAGAACACCATCCTTTATACTGAGACGGTCCCACTGACTCAGTATTTTCTTTGTTTCTCGACCAAATTGTTCTCTTTCCCTTCTTCCTGGGAATTTTTGTTCCTGGACGTGTTTCAACAGCGGCTGTAAGCAACTATCCGTTCTCTGGGCATCTCTTATCTCTTTGTGATTAAGGCAATTAAAATCACTAATGTCCATATGTCCGGGCTCTGTGGATATGTGCTCCACCCCGGTCTGTCCGTTTTGCATCACTTGCACCCCGTGAGGGATATCTGTTGACGCTCTGACCTCACATATTCCTGTCAGCGTTTCTTCCTCATCGCCCGGTCTCTCGTACGGATTCCTTGATAAAGCGTCCGCATTGCCATTGGACCGCCCCGGGCGATATTTTATCTCCAGGTCAAAGAGTGCCAATTCTGCTGCCCATCGCTGTTCGATGGATCCTAACTTTGCTGTCTTTAGGTGACTCAAGGGGTTATTGTCAGTGTATACCACACATTTAGCACCTAATAGATAGTCCCTGAATTTTTCAGTCACAGCCCATTTTAATGTCAAAAGTTCTAGTTTCATGGCGCTGTAATTTGTCATGTTCTTCTCTGATTCCTTCAGAGCTCGACTGGCATACGCAATAACCCTGAAACCTTGCTTTTGTTGTTGTGATAGCACAGCTCCCAGACCTTTAGAGCTGGCGTCAATTTCTAGCCGAAATGGTTTGTCAAAGTCTGCGTATCCTAATATAGGCGCCTCTGTCAAAGCCTTTTTCAATAGCTTAAACGAGTTCAGGCATTCATCAGTCCATAATTCACCTATCAGTTGTGTTTTACCTTTCTTTTTCTCCTTACTGTGTTTCTTTGTCATTTTGTTTACCAAGTCATGCAACGGTGCGGCATTTTTTGCAAAACCAGGTACCAATTTTCTATTTTCTTCTTCAGATAACAGACACTCTACAGATGAACATTTCTCCTGTGCTTTTAATTTGCGTGAACTTTCCCTATCCAGTTTCATGGTTAACCTTGAGATCTCATTCTTAAGTCTACCAATTTCTTCCTTATCATCATTTTTCTCAGCCAACAAATTGTTCACTTGAAACTTTTCAACATTCAAGTTCATTTCACAGTTCATTTTTTCAATATCTGATAATTTCTCTTCGAGTCTTGTTTGCGACTCTTTCATTGTTTGTCTCCTTTTGTTTCTTACGCCATAACCTCGCCGCTCTGTAGCCCTAACCTGCCCTACAGAGGGCGATCGTTTCACCGGACAGTACCGTGCCATATGTCCGGGTTGTGAACAGGACAAGCAAATTGGTCGACCGTCAGCCGTCCACCGGAGCGATGGACCGGCGGGTCGCGGCCGTCCAACCTGTCTCTGTTTTGTCCCGTTCTTTTCCTGATTCTCAGCTGTTGACCTGCTTTCTAACCTCTCCAATCGTTGGTCAACCTTATCCAGGTGGGCCAACAGTTGAGCCATCATGGTTTCCACCGTGCCGGTCCCTGTGGGTGGGAATTGTTTCTGTTCCGGCACAGAGACTTTGTCCACCGAACAGTTCGATTGGTCCTCATCCTCGGACCTGCGGATCGCTGAGTTCCTGACCTGAAGGAAGGTCAACTGCGGGTCTTTGTGGACCTCCTCTTTCAACTCTCTCCTTAAGATCGGGGTTGCTAGCCCCTCGATGAAATGGTCCCTCAGTAGGCGTACATCAATGTCAGGTGTTTTGCCCTTTACCGAATCAAAGGCCCTGTTCATTCGGTGTGAATACTCCATCACACTCTCCGCCATTCTCTGCTTTAAGCCTACGAACCCCGATAGCAGTTGCGATCCCGACCGTCTCTCCCCAAAGGTCTCCATAATTAGATCCAGCACCTTATCTGGATCTGATTGGATGGTTTTATCGTGGCATTTGACCTCTGCCCTAACCGTCTCTCCTATACTGCCCATCAGCAGTCTTAATCTTTCCTCTGGTGACATCTGTCTCGAGGCCCAGGCCGCTTTGACCTCTTCACTGAACCTGTTGGTTAAAGCTGGATCACCGTCCCCGTAAAATTTGTTAATGTGGGACTCTCTGGGCAGGACCACAATATGGGTCTGCTTCTCGTCCAGAGTAGACATTTTATTCCTTGAGTTAAAAAAAAGAGTTCTTTCTTACCGTGTGTGTATGAAAAATTTTCCTCGTTCCTCAATTTTCATTGTTCCTGAATGTCCGAATTCACACACACACGAAACACAGTTATGAACAAGGTTGACTATGGGTGCCTCAAGCGGCAAGTCTCGTTGAATTCATCCTGTCCGCAGCGCCAAATGTAACGAGGCTATTTGCCTGTAGTGCCAAATGTTAACGAGTTCTGCTCGACAACGCCAAATGTTACCGAGTCTAACCACTCATTCTACACAACATCGACCACAGTATAGATACTCGAAGATGCAGGTTCGCTATTGATCCTTTTATTACATGAATCAAAGAAATGCTTCACAATAATATAATGAATCAAAAGGAATGCTTCACAATAATAGTCTGAATCAACTGACCCCCAACAGTCCTCACTAGTCTTCACATAACTGAATGCACATGTCTATCGTCCTTCTTAACACAATACGGCTAACCCGTTCAATAACCAACTTGATACTGCCTCACTGACTGACTGATCGAGAGAGAGAGACCGAGGCACAGCGACCATGAGCTCAGCCGTCGCCTTCCTATATATCCCCTTCGTATTCGTAGTCGTATTCGGTTCTATCATAATCGTAATCGTAATCGATTCTAGTCGTTGCATCAGAATGTTAATTACGCCGCTTCTGTCGTACAGTCCGATTTAATAAGCCATCTGCATCCTGTCACATCAAAGTTGACAGACCGTATTGCGTTCTTATCGTATCGCTTCCCAAGATACTACGCCTTGGCTTTCTGATCGTTATCAGCCAACACCTGCGTTATTACATCAGTCGTGTCAAAGTTGACAGCGCTGTACTGCGTTCTTATGTCTCTGGTAACTTCCCCTAGTTACATATATATATATATATATATATATATACGTATAGTTGAAAATTTGATATTTTGACCTGAAGTACGTAAGGAATCGCAGGTGGGGGGGGGGGGTGAGAATGCCCAGATCAGATCTCGTAACTTGACCCATTTTAAGGCACAACAAACAAGAATGCTATCATTTGTAGGATTTTAAATTGACAAAATAAAATGTTTCTCATTTCTTAAGTGCACACACAGACACACGCACACATACACCCTTTCCCTGTACCCACAACCACACACACCATAGTAATGTAACTATGACATAAGATTGAACTCCCCTTACCTTGATTGTGCCAATATCCAAGTTATTGAACCTGCAGCTTAAGACATCTTGCATCACTTTGACCCGTCGTCTGCTGTAGAAATCATCCGTGTCCTCAACCCTAACACAGAATATGGCGCGATAATTTAGTCAACACAAGGCAACCTCAGAGTCAAAGAAATGCTAAATGCTTAAAAAATAACGTTGTTGCTTAATGAGAAAGAGTTAACGCAATTGTACATTGTTTTTTAAATAAGGGAGTTAATCATAGTGAGAATCGGAAAACATTTATTATTTCCCTTACTAACTACGTTTTGAAATGGTATTTACTGTTTTAATTGTAATTTTAAGAATATTTCAAAATAATAGAATGGGACGGTGTGGTATAGCGGTAGAGCGCTTTACTGCTGACTCCGAAAGTCTGGAGTTGCCGACGTCACAGAAACAGGTGAACTCTACTTCGATTGCCCCATTGACCGTCAGGTTCACACTTCACCCCCAGCCCAACATACACAACATCACACCCAAACCTGTGGAACTATTCACATGTATTTTTTTCTTGTTTATATATATATATATATATATATATATATATATATATATATATATATATATATATATATATATACTAAACATAACTCAGAGGCGTAGCGAGGGCGGGGCGGGGGTGTGGACCGCACCATGTGACACCATTTGGGGGGGGGGGGGACACCAAGGCAAAATATTGCAAAATGTATAGAATAAAATGCATTTTTTGCCAGATCCATTAGTGATTAACTAAAGTTAAAAAGTCTCTTAAGTACAAATCGACAATTATTACAAGAGGGGGTTGGGGGGGGGGGGGGGGGGGGAAATGACACAATGACGTAAACGTACTAACTATAGAGAAAACAAATGTTACATCCAACTATATTATTAACAGACTATACATAAACATCGTTACTAATAAGTCTGCAGTGATTAAAGCTTATACACACACACACACACATATATATATATATATATATATATATATATATATATATATATATATATATATATATATATATATATATATATACCATTATCTGGCATATATTTAAATTTTAGGCCTATGTAGGCCGAAACACACATACACAATCACACATATATATATATATATATATATATATATATATATATATATATATATATATATATATATTATATATATATATATATATATATATATATATATATACTTTGTTTCTTGGGGGGTGACACCACGAACTGCCGCGCCGAGTAATACCCGACCTTAGCGACGCCACTAACATAATTAGAAGTGATTTGGGTAACTAAAAAAATTATTAGATAATTATAGCTATGTATGTATTCTACTCTTCGTGATTTATATGGCGTATACGCTTTAAACCAGCAGTTACTGTAAGTTGCGCCTCCATGGGGACATGTGAACCACGACCCAAGGGGTCGGGCGTAATTCTCAATAGAAATTCAAATAGTCAACAAGAAGATATAATATAAAAATAAGAAATGTTCGTAGTATAACTGAAGCGATTTGTCATATAACATGATGGTTATATAGGCTTACTTTGTAAATTCTATCTCACGTTTGTTTGGTTTGTTTTTTCCTTTGATAATTCGAAACAGTTAAAGTGCGGGAAGTTTCGACTAGAAATTTGTTTAAATAATATCATATTTATGTTTGGGATAATTTCTTCTGCCGGAATCCAAACAACCAGACTTCTTGTTTTTTTTTTTTTTAAACCAGCTACTGAATGTATAATTCTCTAATTAAAAAAAGGTATACATTCTGTGGAATTAAATACATTCATCACAATAAAACTTTCATCTAAAATGTATGTGTATCGGTGTATTCCTTTTATTTAGATACAGTGCAAGGTTGAATAAATTATTGTTATAATATAAAATTTTGTTAGTTAATTCCCATTTAGATAAATTATATAACCAAGGGAGGTAGCCTATAACATGTTTATAAAAGTAACTAAAAGTGGTGCGAAAATTAATTTACTGTAACAACAGTAATTTGTTCTTCTGTTAGTAATAACATTTTAATTTATTAAATATAACTTTTGTTTAGTTTTTAAATTTTATATAATTTTTAAAAAAAATTCTTAATAATAGTTAAAATATAAAGCTATTAGCAATATTAAATTTTTAATGTTTTATAATATTAAAAATTCCTCTGAGGATGATTCATACTGCTTTTATTCATGTAATGTTAATGTTTATTAATGTTTGAACGATACACACCTCACCCGCCCCCCACCCCCCCCCCCCCACCCTCCCCCCACACACACACATTTCCCGCCCGCCCCCCCCCCCCCCCACACTCAACCGGACAGGCGGATATTTCAAGGTAGCGTGCCTTCATCGCCAAGGGTCAATTTAATGTCATAGACACTTTTTGGAATGATTCATCAGTATGAGTATTACAGAGACACTTCTCCCACGGTCGTTTCTATTTCTGTCCATGGGTGGCTACAATGTGAACTTTTGACTCCACAGCTAAGGACGGAGCACAGTAAACTGAGCAGTGAAGAGAAACCAAGTTAGCACACCTTATTTTAGTCTAGTCTTTTGCCATTTTATTTTCTCTCTTTGATTATTATATATGCAATTGATGTTCATATCTTTGATGCTGTGTAAAACTATCAAACAAATTATTATTGATTAAAAAAAAAAATTAAAAAAAAAATTAATGTTTGAACTATGTCAAATATTAAGCACATAAGCATTTGTTTATTATGATGATGTAAATACTTCTATTTGAAAATAAAGGTATTTAAAAAAATAACACGTTCAATCGTTAATTAATTTTCCAAGTGCCAAACATGTGAGGACAGCATGAGACACGCGAGTAGCCCCCCCCCCCCCCCCCCCCCCCTCCCCTTATTATTTATGTTCTGTTAAAATTAACTTATGGCGCAAAAATATTTTAAAAGTCAGCTGTGGTGCATCAACGTCCTCCTTTTTGTGGATTATGGGATGATTGATTCATGTATTGAACAGTTTTGTAGTAATTTGTCCTTTTTTGTGGTTCGTTAGGGGTGGGGGAAGGGAAAAGTAGTCATGTCATCATGTCATGTTTGCCTGTCGTCCCTACTGGGACATAGGCCGCTGACAAGAGCTTTCCAGACGTCTCTGTCCAGGGCTAGTCTCTCCAACTGTCCCCAGGTGTATCCAATCTTCTTGGTGTCTTCTTCCAGGTCACGTCTCCAGGTCTTTCTTGGTCTGCCTCTCTTCCTCCTGCCTTGTGGATTCCAGGTGAGGGCCTGTCTTGTTATGCTGGATACAGGCTTCCTGAGTGTGTGGCCAATCCATTTCCATTTTCTCTGGAGGATCTCTACTTCCACTGGCAGTTGATTTGTCCGTTGCCATAGAACATCATTTCTGATGGTTTTTAGGCCAGCGAATTCGCAGGATCTTTCTGAGACATGCGTTTATAAATGATTGTATTTTCTTCTTATTTATAGCAGTTATTCTCCATGTCTCAGCTCCATAGAGTAAAACAGGTTTTACGAGTGTGTTGAAGATCCGGATTTTTATTCTAAGGGTTAAATCTCCCGAACCCCAAACATTTTTTAGTTGGTTGAAGACTGCTCTTGCCTTACCCGTCCTTATTTTTATGTCTGCTTCTGTCCCACCCTGCTTATCAACAATACTTCCAAGGTAGGTGAATCTATCCACTTCTTCTAGGGCTTCTTCTGCCAGTGTTATAGGGTTGTTGTTTGATGCATTGACTTTGAGAACTTTACTTTTCCCTCTGTGGATGTTCAGACCCAGGCTTGTAGAAAAAATTTGCAACCCTGTTGGTTTTATCCTGCATTTGCTGTTGTGTGTGAGAAAGAAGGGCCAGGTCGTCAGCAAAGTCCAGGTCATCCAGCTGGCTCCACAATGTCCACTGTATACCGTTTCGCGTTTTCTCTGTTTGACATCTTCATAACCCAGTCTATGGCCAGTAGGAACAGGAATGGTGAAAGTAGGCAACCCTGCCTTACTCCGGTCCGTACTGGGAAGGCCTCTGTAGTCTGTTGGCCATTGCACTACTCTACATTTGAGACCTTCATATGAAGACATAATAATGTTGACTATTTTCTGTGGCACCCCGTAGTGTCTCAACAATTTTCCACATTGACTGCCTATCCAGGCTATCAAAGGCCTTCTCATAGTCTATGAAATTAATATAGAGAGATGAGTTCCACTCTTGGGTCTGTTCAATGATGATGCGCAGGGTAGCAATTGAAAAGTAGTCACACAGTATTATATACAACGATGAATGTGGCTAGGGTTGGGGTCATATATATCTCATTTTTGCGTTGTATAATATTTACAGGACCCCTGAGAATATTGCACCCCACCCCAGCCCATCGCTCTCCCCCCCCTCGTTAGTTAGACACCATTGTACTCAGTGTTTCTTCCAGACTTTTTTCTTCGGGGGGGGGGGGGGAGGGGGCACTTGAAATTTTCGGGGGGGGGGGGGTAGACTTTTT